GGCGGTGGGAGACCCCCGGCCCCGCTGCCGCGAGGGCGGGGCCGGGCCGGGGCCCGCCGCAACCCCGGGCGGAGGAGCGGCGGGTCCCGACGGGGCTGGAGCCCGTTAACCGCGGACGGAGAACGGCCCCGTCCCTCGCAGGAGGCTGGAAAGGCGCGGCCGGTCGCCGCCTCCCGTCCCCGGGCCTCACCGGCGGCAACAACCGGCGCTCCCGCCGCACGGACGGGTCCGGGCCCGTGCCGGGACCGGGCCGCGGGGATTGCGGAGCACGGCGCTCCCCGGTGCACGGCCCCGGGGCTCCAGCTCTCCCGCCTCCCCGGTGCTACCGGGGGCACGGCTCCGGGCCTCCCGGGACACGCCGCTCCCCCGGCTGCCGGGGCTCCGCACCCCTCTCCGGGCCCGGGCAGGACGAGACCCTTCCCCGGGAGCTCTCCCCGTCGCTCCCACCGGCCGAGCAGCCCCCGCCGCCGCCGCTCCCTCGCACTTTCCCTCCCGGCCGGGACCGTCGGGGGCTCCGGCCGGGACTGATCGGGCTCATCCCGTCCCTCCGGGGCTCCCCGGTCCCACGGGCCTTTTATTCCTCCCCCCCCCACATCCTTCATTTTAATATAAGAGGGAAAAGGCACCGCCGCGGGTGTAATGGGAACCAGGTGGGGCCCAGCAAAGCCGCCCCGCTCCCGGCCGGGGTTGGGGGGGAAACAGGTAGAAAAAGCCCCGGGGGTACCGGGGACACCGGGCCGGTCCCCTCCACCGTGCTTACCTGCTCCCGGTGCAGGGGGGGTGGTGGGGAGGTGCTGCCGTCCCCAGGGGTGCCTTTCGCTGGCGGCTGGGGTGTCTCCCCCGGTTCCCGGGAGTCCTTTCCGTGCCCCCATCCCTTCTCTAATGATCCCTTTGAGTTCTCCTTTTCCCCTCCCGGTTAACCCAAGAATTGTACAGCTGTGCCCCAGCTGCTGACTTCCCCAGCGCCGCCAAATCTTTCAGGGGGTGTCAGGGAAGGAGGGGGGGAAAGAAAATATCTATATCTTCGGGTTTTCCCATCCTCTTTGTCCCCCTGCGATGCCATGTTTATTTAGCTACACGCCCGTATCCTGCTCCCCTCCTGCCTTCTCCTTCTTTCTGGCCATTTATTTATTTGTCTCCAATGCCGAAACCCAGGGATTGCTCAGAAATGCGGCATGTTGCCTTTGAAAAGGGGGAAAAAAACCCAAACCCAATGCATTTATCGGACTGCTTTGTGTGGCAGGATTTTTTTTTCCCCCAGTCATTTTTCCTTATTTTCAGTCACACTTGGGTTTTTTGCCTTCGCTCCACTCCTTGGTGGGACTTGTTTTTTATCATTAAAAACCCCCGGCCTGGTGGCCAAGCCCTTCAGAGGACAAAGCGGGGAGGAAATGGCAATTTGGCCTCATTCCTTCACCGTTACCCACCACCGGGCACGTAGACAGGTCGGTACCGAGAGGGACGGGGAGCAATCGCCCCCCCAAACCTCCCCCCAGATAACATTTTCCCATTAATTCAAAGCAGCTGGATTTTGGCTCTCTGCTGTGCGCCGTAACCCCCAAATTGCCTTAATTAGGAAACAACCAAAAATCAAAACTGAAAGTCTGGAAAAGGCCGTGGTAGGGGCTGGTTCAGGGGGCGCGGAGCCGCCAGTGGGTCTGTAGGGATGGGGACCCCATTTCCCCGCTCCACCGGGATGTGATGGTTAACGGGCTGGGAAGGAGGATCCATCCCAAAGGAGGCGATTTCCTCCCTCGCCGGCCCCAGCCTTGGGCCTGATCCTGCCCCTCCAGAGGGAACAGTTCTCTCCACCTGCAGCAAGCCCGAGTCTCTGAAGCTGGTGCTTGGGGTGGGGGTGAGACCAGGGCAAAACCCAGCATTTTTGGGTTGTCTCCTTCCCAGGTGACACCCCTACATCCCCTCGGTTGCTGGGGAACCTCAAGCCACCCCCCCGCATCTGCTAAGTCCCCCTTCAGTTCTCCCTTCACTGATTCAGTTCCTCGGGGTCCCAGCAGCACCCAGCACTGGCTGGAGCCACTGAGCCCTGTGTGTCCCCGTGTAGGGACAGACAACCCTCCCGGGAGACAAAGGTGACCTCCGAAATGCATGGCAGTGACTTATCTCCTTGAACCAATTTCATGAGATGCCGCAGCAGCGAGGGGAAGGGGGGGGAACCCCCAAACTTCTTGCTCTGGCCCCCCGGCCTCACAGGAGGGTGGGGAAGGGGAGCTCTTCTCTAGCAAAAAGGGTGGTTTTATTTTTCACTCCTTTCCAAATGCTTTCCTGAGACTTACAGCTACAGGGAAATGCTGGCCCCGGGGGCAGGCAGAGGATCTCCTTGAACCGAGCTCAGGCGTGGGGGTCTGGATACGGCCCAGTGCCAGGGTGGGCTGGGGTTACTGGTGGATCTGATGTCTCTGCCCTGGGCGCAGCCGAGCAGGGTGAAGGTGTCAGCCCGTGCTGGAAGGGAACAGAAGGAGAGGGATGAGGAGAGTTGAGTAAAGCCCTGTACGCAAGACGATCCTGCGCTCACCTTCTCTGCCTCTGCTCGCCCATCCCTGACTAGCAGCATCTGAGAGGGTCCCCAAGTGGGACCCCCAGCCGTGGGTCCTCCCCTGCTCCAGCCAGGCTTCCCCCCCACACACCCTCGGGGAGCATTGCCTCCCCACAGCTCCCCAGGGCATTTTGCCTTCCCTGGTGATGGATCCGACCTGCTGCATGCCTGTGCCGAGCCCCTTGCTCCTGTACCCCAGCATCCCCCTGGCATGACTGGGACCACACAGGGATGGGAGGAGAGGGTTGGGGCTGCAGGCACCAAGAGCTCTTAACTTCACCAGCACCATTAACACCACCCCGTCTTGTGCCTCCCCCCCGCCAGGCAGCGAGAAGGGATGCAAAGGCGGGTACCAGGCGATGCCCGCAGCCTGCCGGGCCCCCGTGAAAGCCCCAGGGGAGCTGGGGTGCCCGCTGGCAGCACCCCTGGGCAGCCTACGGGAACACGGGGTCCCCGAGCTCCCCGAGCCCCTCGGCAAGAGCAAGAGCAAGAAGCGGAGGAACAGGACGACCTTCAGCACATTCCAGCTGGAGGAGTTGGAGAAGGTTTTCCAGAAAACGCATTACCCTGATGTCTATGCCCGTGAGCAGCTGGCACTACGGACGGACCTGACTGAAGCCAGGGTGCAGGTATGGGCATGGGTCCCTGGCTCCCAGGCTTCCATAGGGATGGGCACGGCCACCCCAGGTGGTGCCGGGCAGAGTTGGAGGATGTTTTTCCCCTTTTCCGCAGGGTGATGCTGAGCTAGAAGCTGTTTTTCCCAGGAGGATTATGCTAAGCCCCAGAGGGGAAATCCCAGCCAAGGCGCTGGCTTCACCCACCGCCACAGGATGTGGATGCCAGTTGCCTTTCTGAGCTCTCTCCAGTTCTCCCCTTGTCCCCTCCTCTGCAGCTCCCAAGGGGCAGGAAGAGCCAAAATTTGGGAGGTCACTGCCAACCTGCCCCCCCAGCATCCCCTAACGTGATCCCCCCCATGCATCCATCATCCCCAACCTCCCTCCCCAACTCAACCCCCATCTCAGCTCTCTCCAGCCCAGGACTAGCAGCAATGGAGCTGCCATCCCAGGAGAGGGATCCCAAAGAGCTCGGCGCAGATGGGGCTGGGGGTGGCACATCCCAGGATGTGGGGCAGGACGAGGCCCTCCCTCGCCACCCCAGCTCTGCCGACATCACACTCGTGTCAGGCCATGGAGCTCTTTCCAGAGGCATCTCCATGTGGTTTGAGGCTCCCAGCAGGAAGAAGTGGCTGGAGGGGGCACCCGATGGGGAGAAAAGTGAAAGTGGGTGGGTAATGAAGCGAGCAGGGAGCACCCATTGAGTGCTGGATGCCTCAAGCCATCGACTCCTAGGTGCTGCCCTCCCCATGGGACAGGAGCTGGTGACAAGGCACGGGCAGGGGACATGCACCCCAAGCCTGCAACCACCCAGCCAGACAGCACCCACCACAGCTTCCAAGCCCTGATTTGGGGTGAATTTAGATGAAATTACCTGTAACCATGAGAGCCCTGTGATGAGAATCCCAGTACCATGTCCTCCTCTCCAGGAGATGCTGCTGGAGCCGTCACCGCCCCAGCCACCTCCAGTCCTCAACCCCATCCAGCAGCACAGAGGGGACATGCAGGTGGGTCATCATGACCATGCAGGACTCAGAGAGCCTCATTCTCCATCGAAACCTGGGCTAAACGAGGCCCAGAAACACAAGGGAGAGAAAAGGACTGTGCACGGAGCAGGACTGCTTATTTTCCAAGAGGGCTAAGAGATATTTCTGTTCTTGGTAGAGAAAAAGGCTGGTGAGCTCAAACGGGGCTGTGCAGAAGGGTGGCTTCCTCTGTTCATCTCCAGTTTACCGAGATGCTGGGGCATGGTATTAGGGCTCTTTTCCTGGCGGGAAGATGAGCATGGACCTGGGCAGAGGGCTGCCCATCTCGCCCTGGGCAGGCAGGGGTCCCTGTGCCTCAGCCCTCTCCTCCATCCCCCAGGTCTGGTTCCAGAACCGACGGGCCAAGTGGCGGAAACGGGAACGTTATGGGAAAATCCAGGAGGTGAGAGATGTTGCGGTGGCTGCCTGCCCGTCCCCCTCCCAGGGTAGGGGTCCCATCCCATTGCACCTAGGGTCCCCGCAGGGTGACACACATGACCTATTTTTGCCCCTTCTCGCCCACGGGCCCTGTGATACCATCCACCCTTGGGAAAAGCACCTGGCCCTGGATGGAAAAGGGGGAAAGATGCAGCATCACATTTTGCCATATGCAGGAAGATGCTGCTTTAATGTCCCACTCCATCTCCCATAGGAACATGCCCTTTGGGGCAGGTTTTGGGGGTGTCCCCCCCAAAAGAAGCCCCTTTAGCTGTTCCACATACATCAGTACTTCCTGCCCCCCTTTTTCTGCAAAACTGCCTTTTTTTTTCTTGCAACACTGAAAAACATACAAATAATTTAAAGCTCAGCTTCACACGCATCCCCAGTGCCAAATGCTACCACCACCACCCTGCATGGGGGAGGAGGATTTCAACAGGATTCAACCCCCCCCTCCAGGGCAATTAAAATAAAGCAAAGGCATCCCTCACTTTGCACCCTGTGGGTGAATGGGTGAGGGGTGTCCAAGGTGGAGGGTGAAGGGGATCCAAGGTGGGGGTGATGTGGTCCCCACCCTCAGCTGCCCTCCCCCTGCTTCACTTTGGGCCTTTTTTTTTTTTTTTTTTTTGGTCCTTTTTTTCAGCTGCAGAACAACCTGTGGCCAAGCTCCGGCCCTGGGAGCCCCGCAGGGCTCCTGCCCCCCGAGAGCATCCCATCCCCCTGCATGTCTCCGTACCCCCACACTCACAGCAACATCGCCGGCTTCATGGGCATCCCCGCTTCTCCCGGCCCCCACCCCGGCATCAACAGCCTCTACTCCCTGCACAGCCTACCCCCCCCGGCCCTGGGCACCCACCCCTTCGAGCCAGCACCCGAACATGACTACAAGTCGCCCGCTCTGGTGCCGCTGAGGATGAAGAGCAAAGAGGCAACCAGCAGCCTGCTGAACTGGGCTACGTGATCGATCTGTGGGGAGGGACATGGACCATTCACCCCCCCACCCCGGAGTGTGTCCTCCCCCCACCCAGTACCAGGGTTTGGAAGCAGGTTGTTGGGGTCACCCTTACCCCTCTCCCTGTGCACCCCGATCTCCACGAGCTTTCCTGCATCCCAGCCCACTCCCATCACACTGCTGTCAGGTGGGGGGGTGGTGTCAAAAGTGGGACTGCTGGGGGAGGGAAAAGGGTCACCCCCAAACCCAGTCTGCCCCAGCGGGGCTGGCACTGGCAGCTCAGGACCCTGAAAGTGGCTCCCAAAAAATGAGCCCCCTCCTCCCCCCCCAAGAACCTTCAGTGAATAGGATTTGATGGAGATACCCAGTGGTTTGCAGCAGGGTCGCAGCCCCTTGGCCCCCCCCCCACCTGCCTCCCTCCCTGCCTGACCTGGGGGTCACCAGCCTTGGGTATGTCCAGGGAGGGGACTGTGCCAGTGAGGAGTGCACCGGGGCAAGGGGCACTGGGTTGTTTTGGGGTTAGCGCTCCCCTCCCCAGCTGAAATTTGGCCGCCAACCTCCCCCAGCATAGCCAGCAATGGCAGAAATTAGGCTTGGCACGTTCCAGTCCAACCATACTGGGAAGACCCACACAAGCTGGTGTTCAGGGGGAGTTACTGCAGGGCAGAGCAAAACCCCCAGGCATGTTGAAGGAGGCCCTCAACCCCCCCCCCAAACCACGAGCAGCGTTTCTGCTCCCCCTCAGAGGGAAAACAAGGTTCAGGATGACCTCCCCAGCACAGTCACCAGCTCCTGCAATGTGCAGAGCCCCCCAGGACAGGGAATAAACCAGTATGGGGTGGGGCGCTGCGGGGATAAAGACACCTAAATTGAAGCCCATTTCCCTGTGGGGTCACCCATAGCCCCTCCATGCCCATTACCCCTCAGATTGATGAAGCAGGGAGGTGCTTTAATCCCAGGGGGTGGGACCCCCATCCCTGGTACCATCCCAGGTGCCCCAACTGGGGTGTTTGGCGAAGAAGTGGTCAATTTGGAGGGTTTTCCCCATTTGGGGGGCCTGCAGGAAGCCCCTTAGTGGTGGTACCTGTATGGCCAGTCTCAGGTGTCTGAGGGGGGGTCATCTTATCACATCTGACGTGCTTCATCTGCTCCAGGGGTCTCAGGGTGCACCGCAAGTCCCTCCAAGCGCCAGGTTGCAGCAGCATGTCCCATCCCATCCCCCAGCCAGTGTGACCCCCCCCACTGCATACAAACAGCCCAAATCCAAGTCACAAACGGGACGTCACCTTGCTCCTGCTCACCCTATCGCCAGGAGATGCTGTCGCACCTCCAAGGGCCCCCTCGTGCCAAAAAAACCCCAGAAACTGCAATGCCACCTTGCCCCCAGCTCCTGGTCTCCTGCATCCTGGTGCTGGGGCCGGGGGGAACATCAGCCAGGCACCACAGACCCTCTTGGGGAGGCACCCAATCTGTTGGTCCAGCCCAATTTGAGCCAAAACCCAAGGTTTTCAGCCAAAGGGAGCCCAAATGCTCCAAGACCTTTGTGGATGTTGTTCCTCACCCACAAGGCTCAGCACCCCTGGCACAGCCTGGCCACAGTGGGTGCCCCCCAGGAGACAGCCCACGGCCCGGCTATGCACCCAATGGGTGCCCATCCTTGCCTGGGACATCTTGTGCCCTGGCTCTCACAGCCCCCCCTCCCACCGGCGGGGATTTCGTTATTCATTTATAAACAATAAAACATTTTTAATAAGTTATTTATGGCTCCAGCAGCACTATAAAAGCCGCAGTCTGTGATCGCCCGGCACAGCTGGGGAACATTTTGGAGCAGGCGGAGGGGAGCGAGGTGTGATGGAGAGCTCGGCTCAGCTCACACCTCATCTGTGAGCGTCCTGCCGGGCTCCCCCAGCCAGCTCCTGCACCAGGACCAGGTTTTGGGGGCCAGGGTGGGTGCTAGGGGCACCCAGGTGGAAGGAAACCACTCAGCGGGGACTCAGTACACTTTGAAAATTCAGGCATCACCCATTCCAATGTGACGGTGGTGGTTGCACCCCCCAGCCAGATCTTGCTCCAGGGACATCCCCCCTGATCCATGCTGCTCACGGGGGGACAGGGTCAGGGGGCAGCAATAGGGACCTTGGAGTGATCGCTGGGCTCCAGCTCGATGTCAGCACCTGTCCCTTGCCCATGGCTATGAGGGAAGCGGGCAGGATGGGTCCCACAGCCCGTCTTATGGCCGCACAGTCTGGGGACTGATTAAGGGCACGTTACCATCGAGGCTAAGCTGGCATGGCTTCTCTTATGTCTGCTAAGCGCTGAGTGTGCTGCCTCCTGCCTTCAGAGCCCACAAGAAGGTCTCCAGAGCAGGGGCTGAGCATCCCGCAAAGCTGGGCTCACTCCTGGAGCACCATGGACTTGGCCCTGATGCATCCCAGCAGGCGACAGGGAGTAAATCAGGGCTGCCCCAGCCTCCCTCTGCCCACAACCACCACCACCACCACCCTTGGGCAGGGAAGCAAAGTTTCCTCTGCCCCTGCTCTGCCTCTCCCCGCTCAAACCAGGGGTGAATCGCCTGGGATTTTACCCACCTGAGCTGGCCAGGGCTGCTGCTGCCCCTCTGCCAGGGAAACTGAGGCACAGCAAGGCGTAAGAGTGAGCTCTGTTAAGGCCAGGCTCCAATGCTGGGAACAGGGGCCAAAGAAAATCCCAGTGACACCACCACCATGCCGGTGTCAGAAATCCCAGGGCAGAACTCGGGAGGGTTCAGGGAAAGGGACAGGCAAATGCCTGCTTGAACCTGCCAGCTCCTGCCTGCAACCCCGAGGTCACCAGCTCCCCCAAGCCAACAGATCCAGTTGCAAAATATTAAATCTTTCAGCGACAGGTAATCCACCCCCAGTGGGACTTGAGGAGTGGGGACAAGGACACAAGACAATGAACCCTGTGCGCTAGCTCAGCCCCATCCCTGGGCCCACCCATTGCTGCTTCCCTGGGGCAGGAGGGATGGGGACACAGATAGAGCCCAGACACACTCGGGTCAGAGATATCACGAAATATATATATATATATATATATACACACAGCTCATCCACCCCACCCAGCGGGGCAAGGGAAGACTGCAGTCTCCAGCCGTCCCCAGCCCCTCAGCGAGAGGACAGACCCTCATCCCCCAAGCCATCGCCCTCCCAGCACCCCCGACCCCACCGCCACGTCCCCCCAGGCAGGGTCTGGGCAGGGGGACAGACCGTTTTCCTGCCACAGCAGCCTCTGCTCCCCATGTCCCGCAGCAGCACCGAAGGGGCCCTCACTCCACTTTGCCCCGCTCCCCGCACCACTGGCTGCTCCAAGTGGAGCAGAAGGGTCTCAGCCCTGGCTGGTGGGGGGCAGGAGGAGGGTGATGGCAGTGCTGCCTCTGAAAGCATCGACCAGGGGCACACACAGGTCCCCCCCACCCAACAGGAGACTCCCAGGGCACTGTGGCCTCCGCCAAGCCTTCACCCTCAGCTCGGGGGTTGAGCCTGGCAGAGCCTGGAAGGAGGCAGAGGGGCAGGATGGTGCCTCGGCAAGGACCCCACAGCTCCAGCCTCTTCCCAAGCCTGCCACAGGGGGCCCAGGCACACACAGACCCACCCCCCCCAAAGCCTCTCTCCTCCTGCCCCTCGGCAGCAGGCCGGCTTTGTGATCTCCCCAAAGCACCCCCTCCTGCCTCCCAGTCATCCCTCACTGCAGCAGCTCCTCCCAGGAGATGGGTCGGGAGAAGACCTCCCGCTCCAGCCACAGGTCGTAGTTGACCTGGAAATCCTCAGGCAGGTCCACACGCTGGCCCAGCACGCTCTGCAGGCAGTTGTCCACAGGCAGAAAATCAGGGTTGCTGTGTGCCCGGTCGTAGCGACGTGAGTTGAAGCGCTCGATGCTGGCACGCAGGGCACATTCCTCTGCCTGGAAGTCCCAGGGCCGGGCATCCAGGTCTGGGCAGAGTGAAGAGGGGTGTCAGAGGGGAGCTGGGGGCCCTTCAGCAAGCCCAAGTCCCTCAGGAAACATCTTTGCAGGTCCTTACAAAGAGCAACACGCAGAGCACAGAGCAGGCAGCCACCAATAGCTCCAACACCAGCCATTGCCAGCCCTTTCCCTCTTCCCTGCGATGCCACCACTCCAAATCCCTCCCCGCACCCCAGAACTAAGGGTTGCACGAGCCCTAAGCAGAAAAGGGACAGCTCTGGGCACAGACACATCACTGCACGGAGCAGGAAGGACAGCAGGTAACGGGATGTTCTGCAGCTGCTGTGAAGGACATACCGTTGCCGTAAGCCCAGTCATCATTGAGACGGTGCCGCACTTTCTGGTAGATGGCCGACATGGTCTTCATGTTGCTCTTCCTCCACTGCCGGCCCAGGTACTTGGTCTGTACCTTGAGCAGCTTCAGCACATAAAGCTGCATCATGGCCTGCTTCACCTTCAGTGCCCGCTTCAGGATGGGTGCTGACTTGAACACCACCAGCATCTGCAGGGAACAGCACCCCCAGCAGCCGGGGACAGCGGGTTGACATGGCTGGGACAGATACATGGGTACACACATGCCAACCACCACCTCCAGCACACACAAGCTCTTCCCTGCAGTGTGCACTGTCCCTCTCCCCTTCCACCTACCCTCTCTTGCCTCCTGCTCCCCAGCAAAGTCTGGGGTACCATGCAAGGGCCACCCCAAGGCACCCACAGCCCCCTCACCCTGTCCAGGCACCCTGTGACAGCCCAGTCTGGCCGGGGCTGAGCCCCAGTGGGTTCCCCAGCCCTCACCATGGTGCGGGAGTGCTTCCACTTGGTCAGTTTGTTCAGGATGCGCAGGAGGTTTATGCAGGAGAAGAGGTTCCTCCAGCAAAACTGGTTGTTGTCTCCAGCTTCCTGCAGGAAAGCAGAGGAAGGGGTCAGGCAAGAGATCAGAGCTGGGATGAGAAGAGGCTGTTCTGGTCTGAGGACCCTTGCCCAAAGGGGTACAGCACAGCATGCAGGCA